GCTATTGGTAGTTATAAATGGTGCGCTGAGTAATAGTGTGAAAGGTAGATGTAATAATAGGATTGGTGGGAATGGAATGGAGGGCGAGAAGATGTAGGGGAAAGAGATAGTCCGAAGGTTAGATAATACAAGATAAGATAAGATAAAGAAGGGAAAAGAGAAACCGTAACACATTCCCCCAGGTTTGCCCTTTCAACGGGGTATAGTACGGCAGCAATATTCTAGATCTACTAGGGTCATCAGTACACTAATTGAAGTTGGCTGGCCTCATCAGGTATGGCCAGGCATGAGGACCAAAATGGAGTCAAGTTGACATGTGTCAAACATGATGATCACGTGATTGGTGAGTCGTATGACACAACAAAGTCATGCTGGTGGAGGAGAAGGGTATATCGGTGTGTTTGGAGTTGTGGTAAAGCCGGAATGATGTCAAAGTGGAAGTCAAGCCAATGTGTAGATGTCGAAGTAAGAAGTTGAACTGGTACAGTGATGTCAACAAAATGGATATACACGTGCAGCGCGAGTGCGAGTGTGTCAATGCAATGAAAATTTCCTCATAATCCCATTTAGGCAGCTGCCCAAAGGAGAAAGGGAACATCAAATAATGTTCTATCCGATTGTTTTGCAGTCCTCTACTAATTTAAACTCAGTTGCACCAGTCCCTCTATTGAGGATTTGCTCATAGAGGGGATGGTCACAAGTCTAGAGGGATGATCAAGAAGAGTCAAGTAAAGTTTTTGAGAAGAATAAAAACAAACACACACTGGGCCTTGCTGGGAATCGAACCCAGGCCACTTGCAGCGTCTTGCATGTATTTCACATGATTACCCAAAGCAAGTATCGTACCTCTAGACTACAAGGCCGCAATGACGCAAACAAACGCAGTTATATGTCTCGATTAGCCATTTTGCACGAAACAAAGTTTGACATTTACATATGGGCCTATTATATTAGATGGCCAAAAAACAAGTTCTTCCCGCCAGTACTAGGCCAGACTGGCCACCAATGATGATGCGCGAAAATAGTTGACATATAGTTGATTCTAGCCGATGGTCGTCAACTGGTTATATTTAATCCGGTCCTGCGACAGCGGCAACACGCGGTACCAACCATGAGGCTGTCGTGATGGGGAGTTACGAAATACTCCAAACTGCCCAGATTTTCCAGCGCCTCCCCGTATTTTAAGGCTGAGTGAATAGTACAACTCTATTTTTTAACAGAAATGAAGGATTTGATACGTGGGACGATAAAGGATTTAAGAAATACAAGCGGAACCTTGTTGAAGGGAGACGGAGGCAAGTAGCCGAATGCGCTGAGCACGTGGGAATTTTGCTTTGGTCATCACAACCGGGCTTGCAAACTCTTCTCCTCATTCCTCTCCCTCTCCACCACCGGCCAGACCCTGCTGCAAGGGTGCAGCTCACGTTCCCTGTTTCTGTTTCTCTATTAGAAGGCCTTTGAAGACGCCTGGTCCAGCTTGTGACCATGAATAGGCAATCTTCAACGACAATGAGCGCACACCAGCGCATGGAGGCGGTTACTGACCTCACGAATCTCTCACCAGTATCTGACGATATCATCGTTGCATGCATTCGTGAGCGGTTCATGTCGGACAACATCTACACCAATATCGGGTCATCTGCCCTAGTTGCTCTCAACCCCCACAAGTATGTCTCATCCAACGCCGACTCCATTCTACACAAGTACGCAGGAGAGTATCGCGACACCTCGGAACACAAGCAGCGTTTGCCACCTCACATCTTCCAGATGGCGAACAATGCCTACTACCACATGAAGCGGACGACACAGGACCAGTGCATTGTTTTCAGGTGTGTCATCATTTTTCCGTCATGTCGGAATTTCATTTGACGGGAGTTTTTAGTGGAGAGACAGGAAGTGGAAAGTCTGAGAACAGACGACTGGCGATCAAGACGCTGCTGGAGCTGAGCGTATCGAACCCAGGCAAAAAAGGGTCGAAACTCGCCACCCAAGTACCCGCCTCGGAATTCGTGTTGGAGACATTCGGAAACGCACGCACGCTCTTCAACCCCAACGCATCTCGGTTCGGAAAGTACACCGAACTGCAATTCAGTGAGAGGGGAAGACTGACGGGGATCAAAACACTCGATTACTATCTGGAGCGGAACCGGGTGGCAGGAGCGCCGTCCGGGGAGCGAAACTTCCACATATTCTACTACCTGGTCGCTGGGGCATCGCCAGAAGAGCGACAGCATCTTCATCTTCTCGACAAAACAACATATCGATACCTCGGGCAACGGGGGGCGGGGGGACGGCCGAATGGTGGTCGTGATGACGATCAGATGCGGTTTGATCAGCTGAAGGTTGCGCTGAAGACTATTGGATTGTCAAAGCGGCACGTTGCACAGACATGCCAACTCATCGCTGCAATCCTGCACCTTGGTAACTTGGAGTTTACGATTGATCGGAGCCGCAACGAGGATGCGGCTGTTGTGCGGAACACAGAGTTGCTGGAGATTGTAGCGGATTTTCTCGGAATCCAGCCATCCGCCCTAGAGTCTGCGCTGTCGTACAAGACGAAGCTCGTAAAGAAGGAGCTGTGCACGGTGTTCTTGGATCCGGATGGTGCTTCCGATAATCGGGACGACCTCGCGAAAACTCTTTACTCACTCCTTTTCGCATGGTTGAACGAGCACATCAACCAGCGTCTCTGCCGTGATGACTTTTCGACATTCATCGGGCTCTTCGACTTGCCTGGACCGCAGAACATGACGAGCCGCGCTAACTCCCTCGACCAGTTCTGCATCAACTTTGCCAACGAACGGCTGCAGAACTGGACGCAGAAACGTCTATTCGAGAGCCACGTCGATGAATACAACACGGAAGGGATTTCGCGCTTTGTTCCCAACGTGACCTTTTTCGACAACTCGGAGTGCATTCGTCTCCTGCAGAACAAGCCCGGAGGACTTATCCACATCATGGATGACCAGGCGAGGAGGGCGCCGAAGAAGACCGACCATACGATGGTAGAAGCGTTCCAGAAGCGATGGGGCAACCACACATCATTCAAGACAGGATCCATGGATCGTTCGGGCTTCCCGACGTTTACCATCAGCCACTTTAACGGCCCTGTTACGTATTCCGCAGAGGCCTTCCTTGAGCGCAATCTAGACGCTCTCAACCCTGACTTCGTTTCGCTTCTCAGAGGAGGCACTGACCACTCTGAAGGATCAGGGTCTAACAATCCCTTCATTAAGGGCCTCTTCTCTGCCAAGGCTATTGCGACGCAAGCACATCCCCGAAATGAAGACACCATCGTTGCAGCCCAGCAGCCCATCAAGCCCATGCGTGCGCCTTCGACGAGGAGAAAGAATACTATCAAGCGCATGCCGACGTTGAAGGAAGGTGCTGACCTGGACGATGTCAAGGAGGACGAGGAAGCAGCGCCATCATCGGGTGGCAGCCCTTGCGTCGCTGGGGAGTTCAAGTCTGCGCTTGATACACTATTTGAGACGCTCAACGAGACACAGTCGTGGTATGTGTTTTGCGTGAACCCCAACGACTCGCAGCTACCCAATCAATTGGAGGGCCGTAGTGTGAAGGGGCAGGTCAGGAGTGTGGGCTTAGTTGAGATTGCTAAGCGGAACGTCAATGTCTTCGAGGTGGGCATGACTCCGGACGAGTTCTGCGACAGATACAAGACGGGACTGGAGATGGGCAACGTCACGGAGGGTAGTGCGACCGAGCGTGTTCAGCAGGCCCGGACGACTTTTGGATTAACCGATAGGGACTTGGTCATTGGGCAACATAAAGTGCGTTATATACAACTCCAATTAAACGATTGGCTAACATAATTTACCCTCAGGTCTTCCTGTCTCACATCGCATTCCATACTTTTGAAGATCAGTTACGATCGCAGGATGTCGAAGAACAAAAACGGAATAGGATCCGTGATGCAGAGGCTGAAGCTGGTCTCGACCCCCGTGGAATTGCCGACCCCTACGCTCCTTACCTTTCTCCTGGCCTCGATGCACCTGAGGGTTCGCCTTGGGCCGGAGGTTACAACGATGCCTACAACACGTCAAACCAGGCACTTCCCCTCGTCTCGAATGCCTCGCCCTTCCAGAGGGCAGACATGTACGACGACGACTACGACGAAAACAAGTCTCTCCGCAGTGATGACTTTGATGGCCGGAGCAGGTTCACGAGTCAGCGCGAAGACACCATGTCTAACTTCGGCTCCGAGTCCTATGCTCCCTCACGTAATATGTTCCAGAACGCCGACACTAAGGGATTGATGGAGAAGGAGGTCCTCCCGGGAGAGATCCACGAGGGCGAAACGACTGAAGTGTTGAAGGAGAGCTCAGCTAGGAGGAAGTGGGTTGCGCTTTGCTGGATGTTGACGTTCTGGGTGCCGACTCCGCTTCTAACACATGTCGGACGGATGAAGCGCATGGATGTTCGCCAGGCTTGGCGAGAGAAATTGGCCCTCAACATTCTCATTTGGTTCATGTGTGGATGTGCGATCTTCATCATTGCCGTCCTTGGTGTCCTCATCTGTCCCACGGAATACGTTTTCAACACTGCTGAATTGGCGTCGCACTCGGCTGTCCTCGATCCTGGTAATGTCCTGACGGCTATCCGTGGAGAGGTGTTCGATCTCACGGGCATTGCGCAAACGCATTTCCGTATCATTGGTGTGATCCCCACGAAGGCTATCCTGAAGTATGGTGGACAGGTTGCCGATAATATTTTCCCTGTCCAGGTACGTTTCTTCTAGCTTAAATGTAAAACCACGTTTTAATATTTTTTCAGGTCAGTGCACTCTGCGACGGAATCGACGGCAATGTCAGCCCTTATGTGAAGTTGGATTCCCGGAATATCACGGATCCCAATGCTGTGTACCATGATTTCCGCGCCTGGACGAATGATTCGCGCCCTGATTGGTATTTTGAGCGTATGGTACAGATGCGGTATAGCTCTCGTCGTGGGTTCCTTGGGTATACCCCCAAAGAAATCAGGAACATGGCGGTCAATGGGAGATCAGTTGCTGTATACAACGGGCTTGTCTACGATGTTACCAATTACCTCAGAAACCCCCCTGCTCTCGAGGCCCCCTCCGGCACTGTTGTGGACCCTAGCACGCCGACTAGTTTCATGCACGGAGCTGTTTTGGATGTGTTCAAATTCAGCGGTGGTGGAGACGTTACTAAGCAACTCGATAACCTCAACATCGATAAGGTCATCCTCGCTCGGCAAAAAGTGTGCCTGCGGAATTTATTCACAATCGGCAAAGTCGACAACCGGCAGTCCACACAGTGTCAATTCGCTACGTACCTACTCCTCAGTCTCTCCGTCCTGATGGTTTCCGTCATTGGGTTCAAATTCTTGGCCTCGGTTAATTTTGGAGCGGCTCGTGCTCCCGAGGATCACGATAAATTCGTCATTTGCCAGGTCCCTTGTTATACCGAGGGTGACTCCTCGCTCCGAAGGACAATCGACTCGTTAGCCCAGATGAAGTACGACGACAAGCGCAAACTTCTCCTGGTCATCTGTGATGGTATGATTGTTGGTTCAGGAAATGACAGGCCCACTCCTCGTATCGTCCTCGATATCCTCGGTGCTGACCCGAATCTCGACCCAGAACCATTGAGTTTCTTATCCCTCGGAGAAGGTGCCAAACAACATAACATGGGCAAAGTGTACTCTGGTCTTTACGAGTGCTCTGGACATGTCGTACCGTACATGGTCGTTGTCAAAGTTGGGAAACCCTCTGAGAGGTCGCGCCCTGGAAACCGCGGTAAACGTGATTCGCAGATGCTCGTCATGCACTTTTTGAACAAGGTTTGTTTTTACCTTTTTTTTATTCTTCTTTATAAGTGTT